GACTGAGAGTATTCTTTTACATCATTACATGCAATTTTTGTTGACAATATATCGCTGTACTGCAGGTGTGATGGCTGCCAGAGGAATTTTGAACAACCCAGCAATGTTTGCAGGGTATCAGTCAACTCCTTTACAATGTGTCACAGATTGGGTAAGTCATAGAGATCACTGGTCTGTCTCAGGTTTTCTAGGAAACTTAGGTCACTGTAGAGCATAGCAAACTTCCAGAAAAGATTTGGATCCATACTCTACAGGAAGAGTGAACCATTTTGCTCATTAATTTTGATATAATTATTTTAAAGGTAATTCCTCAGAAAAAAAAAGTTATGGAACAATTTTTTTAAACTTTCCTTAAATTTTCCTTCCCTACCAATGTCTGTTTTGAAAATACAATAAAATGCTTGTTTAGGAGATACATGGGGCCAAACGTACCCCATTTATGCTTGTAGAGGAGTTAATCACACACATCATTTCATCAGTTCACAGTACATTTTGCTGCAGCTGGAAGCAAGGGTTTTCAAAGTAACACTTGGAAAATCTTGATAAGTAGAAAGTCTCAAGCATATAGAAGTTTGATATATAATATGTGGGAACATCACGCAAATTTAAATGACAATGACTTAAAAATGTTCTTTGAGTTTAATTTCCCCTATTCAAAGGGGATAATTTTTTCACCAAAATTATGCAAAAAACAATCCAGGTCATCATGGACCAGCATCCCATCCAGGGGGGAGTAGTAATGCTCTTAGTGGCTTCATGCAAAGGAAACTGTGATAAACTCCAACTGGATGGGCTATTTAGCTTAAGGACAGACTTTGCCTACAAGTATTTTTTAAATAAATTGTTCACAACTGCACTATTTTAGGTTGATGTTGCTCTTTCCCTTGGCACTCCTTTCACCAACTTTCATCATCATTTGATTTACATGTTAGAGAAAGTGACAACAAAAGCAGGTAAACATAAGGATGGGGATGTGAATTGTTAAACAGCTTATTAATCCTTGAACCCCTAAGAGTGACTAGCATCTAATTTCTCCTTACAATGTCACTCCTGAATCACATATTAACATCATGAGAATCAAGGAAATGATCCCCAACAAAAGAAACTCTTGATTGTTAACCAAATTCTCCTCATCAGCACCATAGTAAATGTACAGAGAACAGTATGGAGAATATGAATACAAATGTTAGGATGTAAAAGTTAATGGTGGGTGCTGAATGATGCTTATGTTTGGGAGTTGGGTTGAATTAAATTGGAAATATTTTGGGGTAATTTAAGTGTTCTCAACTGAGTTGATAATGTAAATTGGCCACTGTAAAGACTTTAAAGGCGAGCTAGGTGTCCAATTTATATTATCAACTCAGTTGATAACACTAAATTACCCTGTTATACTCTCCCACCAACGCAGCACCACAGTTTTCTTTAGAAACTTGCTCCCTTTATTCATTTGAAATATTTTTGGCCTCATACAGCTAAAGATAGGCTACATTTCTGGAAATATTTGACATTTTCCTCAAAATTTTCCATTTAGAAAATCTCCCCTTTATTTCATAGCTATAATCCATTATGTATTGCTGAAGTTTGTTTTATCTCTTTTTTTGCTTTTTAGACAGAAGAGTGTTCAGTGAGCTTAAAAGTATACCTTCAGTTCTGGAATATCTTAGAATAAATTACAACGTCTAAAACAAGAACATGATGTAAAAAGTTTACTGTAAGTCTGTTGGGAAACACTCAGTGTAACTGTTGGATTATCAATGGTGAAGGAGGCAAGGCAAATGAAGAACTGAGCACAAACAGTAAATGGCATGACATGAAGTTGCTAAAAAATGAAGTTACTTTTTCTGCTCTGCAATGAATGTTGGCTCAAAGTCAGGGGTTTGAATAAAAGCAGGTTAGCAGAGATCTACCACCACTTTTAAAACCTCCTTCTGCAGTCTGTTTAATCTGGAGCAGGCTGTTGTGTGGGTTTTGTATCATGGCCCCTTTTCAGGCACAGCCACCCATTATGCAAATGTACACCATTCATCAGCCACTCATGGTAAAACTTATTTAAACTGCAAAGTGTCAGAGAAGAATTAATTTAGCCATGTGTGAAGACAACAAGTGAAAGTGATGGTGAATGTATTAGTTTAGTTTTATCTAGGAAGTGATTTCCCAAGCAGACCTCTAACACCAAATTCTCATAACCAATTTACTAGGAATGTGTAGCAGCCTTTGACCCTTAATCCAGTGTGCTAACTACCACAGAAGCTGGTTAAAACTCTTGAACTCCCAAGATCTGATTGTTAATTCTCCCCTCTAGCTGCTACACATTTCCTTTCAAATTAATTATGAGAACTTGGTGCTTGATCAAAATAGTAGCTTCTACCTGATAAGTTTGAATATTCTCATTACCTGTTTGCTGAAGAATGTATAGATATTTTAGGGAGAAGTTTTATTTTAATCACTTCTGGGAGTTAAAGGGTTAAGAACTTTTCCAAAAAATAAAAATCACAGATTTAAATGTTATCCTTTTATTTAGACTTGAACTTTTTTAGAAAAATGTATGAATATCAAAGCAATAAATACAATACTTTTGAGAAAGCCTTTACTACTTCTGTGTGTACTGATCTTTAGATGATAGCAGCCATATTGGTGATTTTAAAGTCCAACACGTAATGGTGGTGAGACTAAGATGACTCCATCTCCCCTCACAAACAGCATTGGAATATTCCTTTTTGTTGTCTGTTGCAAACAAAATAAAAGATATAAATTCAAACTAATAGGAGCTTTGCTCATTACTACAGTCACCTTTTAACCCTTTCACTCCCAAGATCTCATTAGTTATATTCTCCTAAATGACTGTCACACAATTCATATGATTTTAGTTATGAGAATTTGTTATTGGATCAACTACTAATCCCATAATTGATATTTCTCTTTATTCTCATCACTTGTCTGCTTGATATTGTATGAATATTGTGAGGACAAATTCTGTCTTGGTCACTCACGGGAGTTGAAGGGTTAACAAAATGGTGACAATTTTACAAGTCTTGTTTATCTATCATAACAAGTCTTTTTGCCCCAAGAGAGGCAAATTAAGAAGCAGGCAAAAAAGCATTTTACAAGTTTATTTCAGGAAATCTTTATCAACCTTGAATTCCTTCATTTTGTTATTTTCCCTGTTTACAACTTCAATCTGTCTTCCAAATTATTGTTTAAAGAATTGTGCAGTTTACTCAAGTAGCTTGGTGCAATACTGTAGTTTCCAGTCTATGGTCAAATTCTGCTCAGAATGAATCATGAGTTTTTACCTTGAAGAGTTCTTCATATGTTTCTTCATCTATTTCTACAGTAGTAATGGTTTCCTCAACCTCACTCAAGATCATATTAAGATGCTGATCATAAGCCTGGAAAGAAATTAAGAATACTACATATCCATAAAAGTGAAAGGTGTTAATCAGATGTATATCAATCTGAATGCCATACATTTCCCGCTATACAATATGGAAACACAAATTGACATTACTGTGGCTGGACATGATTATTTGCTACATTCTCAGAACATCATCACACTAAAAGATAGTTAGAACCAACAGACTTATATTGAGGACATTGTCTAGATGTGAATTCAAATTCACCCAAACAGTGTACGGTCACCCATTAGGAGAATTAGCTTTCAGATCCTGTAAGTGAAAGAGTTAAACCCAAGAACCATTAGCAAGTGGACTTGCCCAGATAAAAACAAGCGTAAAAATTTAACTTGAAGCCTGTGACGTTTCCTTGAGTTGACAAGTCGCTTATCAAATCACCATTTTACGTACAATGGCAGTCTTGAATTTCATTTCCTCAATCTCAAAAATCTTATTAATCATTTTGCCTGAGAAGAAATAAGATTTGTTCAGCTACATAGGCGTTGGATTAAGCTTAAGTGGCAATTAATCAAACACGAAAATGTGTTATTGTTTTTCTTCATTTCTGCATTTGATGAATCATTCCAATATTTATACATAAAAGACGACCCTTTGGCTTAGAGACTCGAATTCTACATTCGATAGATTTATGGAGACTATTTTATGTCAACTGATACCTTGTCACTGATGGGAGACCAAACAGACTACTTTGATCAGAAAATGAGCTTTCTAGGGCTGAATTTGTTGTTTAGAGGACAAAACCTTTCATAATTCAGGATTTGAACCGTTTCAAATGTGTCTCTGTTGTCAGCTGAGCATGGCGGTCCACAGAATATCATAGAACCAAAATACTTACGTGGAGTTTTCCCCTGAGTTCTCTATCATTCCTAAGTTTTACGTAAATCCTCTCATCCAGACTCAGACGTATGAGATCGAGTGGTTCCTCCACAGTGTTCGCTGCTGCTTCATCTTCCGCCATTTTAGTTTTACGCACGAGGAACGTCGTAAAGATTACTCTGGGAGGGGAGGGTGGAATCGAAATTAAAGATTAAGTAGGTACCGGTAAGGAACGCAAGGATGCCTTCTCTTATTGTATTCCGACACGGACATAAGAAAATGGAAAAGTAGACTGGACAAGGAAAACAAAGATGACATTTGAGACTGTTTGGTCGAGCCCTAACATCTCCCTTTCTTCCCAAAATCTTATCACGGATTTTTTTTTTCTTTCCCGCTTTTAAACGATTTCGCTGTGTCCTTGCAATTTTTTCGATGTTTCTTTCGTTTCAGACAAATGATTTTATCATATAAAATAAATAGATTAAATTCTGCTGTGGGTCTGTGCAGTAAAAGATCAGAGAAGACATAAAAAAACGTGATGGCAAATCAACTGAAACTTGCTATTTTGATACAACATCAAATTCTCATAAACAATTTATCAGAAAATGAGTAGCCGGTACTAGGGAGAATTGATTGGATCTACACACTTTGGGGTTTAAAAAAGTGGAGCTGATCCAGGAAGTATTATGAGCAAACAGAAACCTTTTTATATTTCTTTTTCCGTTTACGTTTCTTTTTACCACTATCCCGTCCGAAATTTCTTTCCAAATTCATATTTTTATATTGTTCTTGTAAATTTACTTCTTGGTGTTTCTTGTTCTTTTTCCGACATTTTTTCTTCGGTAACAGATTAACATGCGCTAATGAATGTGCAGAATCGCTGTCGTTGTCAACGTCATCATTCATTGGTTGTGTTGAGTCTTCTTGAGACCTTTTCCTCTTTCCTCCGGGTGATAAACCATTGGATTCTGTGGCTTTGTGATCTATAACTGTTTTATTGTCATTTCTCACAAAGAGTGCCACGAAAAAGCCGTTCGTGAAATCTTGATCAGGTGACGCTCGGATGCATCTCTCTGCTGTTAAAGATACAAGAAACAATCCTCATATTAAATGCCGTCTCAAACATTTTTTTAGAGCACTTTTCGTCGATTGTAAAAACCAAACCAAAGTTATCACAACTACTAATTTAGAAAAAAGGAAAATAACTCTAAGGAACAAAGAGAACTCAGAGTAATGATGACAAAACTATCTAAACTGCTAGCAAAAACTACAGGCATCGAGGCTATGCAGTTTTGCAAAGCAATTTCAAACAAGACTGAATTTAATAAGTGAATCCACGATCGCTACGAAAGTGGCCCACGCTCTTCAAGCTTAGAAAAAACCACGCACATGAAGAAACCCCTATGATGATAAAGCGCGGGAAAACGCGCGCGACCAAGTCGTGACTGGTTTTAGTTTTTGTTCTGATTGATTGAGGTAGTGGAGCGAGTTTTCCGGACCAATCACAGAGCGAAGTAAAGCAAAACCAATGAAATCTCGGATTACTATCGACATTCAATTGAAAATTGTTCGGAGAAATCACACCATCAGTCTAACAGACCAAGAGAGACATGCCAAATAGTGGACAAAAAGTATATCATGAGTTAATAAAACCTTTGATACGAAAAAAAAATAAATAAATAACAGCAGACACCATTTCTGCTTCTCCATAAAATCAGATATTTAATCATCTCCAAAACGAGACGTACTACTAAACAACACCCTTGTTTCAAGAAAATTTGTGCTGCTATGTTAAGGGGCCTTTTTATTGGTTGAAACACTAGTCTTCTTGGACTTCTCACGCAACCCTCTTCCTACACACCAGAGCACATTGCTTGACAAACAGCCTCGTCACTCAACAAACTTCCTCTGCACCAGGACACAATGCATGAAAAGACCAAACAGCAGCTATGAAGTACCCTACCATGAAACCTACCCTCAGGAAACACAGCCATTCCTCTGTGTGTCCAGGATGGTAAAGCATGCTCCAGCGAAAATCTGTCCCTGTTTGCGTTTAAAGCTGCCTCCACTACATCTTCATTTTCCTACCAGGAAAAAGAAAAAAAGAAAGTTGTGGAGAAAATTAAAATGGAAACCTATTTGGAAGGTACAGTGGTCTTATGATTAGTGCACTGAACTCTGGGAAGAGAGGTCTAGGATTGAGACCTGGCTGGGTCAATGTGTTGCATTCTTGGACAAAACAATTTACTCTCACAGTGCCTCCCAAGAGTATAAATGGGTACTGGCAAATTATCAGGGAAGTCGGATAAAATGCTGGAAAGGAGGAGGGGGTCATCTTACAGTGGACTAGTATCTCACCCAGGGGGGGAAGAAGTGATACTCCTAGTTGCTTCATGCTAAGGAACCTGAGATAAGCTCTCGCTGGTGGGGGCACTTGGCTTGAACAAAGACCTTACCATAATGGGAGTGAAGGATTAAACAAAGAAAGAGAGGAAGAAATTCAACTTTCTGCATCACTTTTCATTTCCAGTATTTGCCAGTTACTCCAGCCCATTTCAGCTGTAATTGTTGTCTGCTCTACCAGAAATCTCATTAATTCAAACACTAACATCACTAACATGCTTACTTATTATAGACAAAGTCAATCATCGATTGTACTGCTTAAAAGGTTTTCACAAGTGCAAAATCAAAAGTTTGCCTCCTGAACTGATTACCTGTTGATGAATGGAGCAGGTTGAGTAGACCACCCTCTTCACATGAGGAAAGGACAAGGCATGGTTTAACACAGACAACTGAAACTTGGCTAGTGATAGAAGCCTTTCCTGCAAAAATGAGAAAAAAGTTGGCATTCACAAGGTTGTCCTTAATTCATTAAGCATTTGACTTTCATTAGCAGCAGATCTAACCTCTTCTTTAAGCTTGTCTTCCTTTTCATCAATTATGCCATCCATCCTGTTGACAATACCAGACCCAGAGCATGATGGATCTACCACAATGTATTGCACTTCAGCGTACTTCTCACCTAAAGGATTTACCTAAAGCAACAAAATTCATAAGGTTACAGCAAAAGTTCTCCATAGAATGACACCATGGAACCTCTCATCTAAACAAATTACCTAAAACAACAAAACTCATAATGCTACAGCACATGTTTTCCATAGAATGACATCATCTGTAAGTAACTTTTGTAATCAGGTATCACATAGCACAGAATAGTTCCTAATGGTTACCAGATCAGTTCTTATACAGATGCATGTACCAGACATCACTGTAATACTTGTTCTAGAGAAAACTAGGAGTACTAGATGAATTATTGGCCTTTAAGAAGTTTCCTTTGTTGTACCAATAGCCTTGCAATTCAATTGTTCAATAAACGCGGGTTACTAACCTCCAGAAAACTACAGTTTGTCATTGTGACACACTCCACTCCAGCTTTCTTCATCAGAGTTTGCATTACTGCTAACCTCTTTCTATCACTGTCAAATGCATATATTTTCCTGACATCAAAACAGAAAAACAGCTGATTAACAAAGCTCAAGTTCAAAACTGGAGGTGCATGAAAAGTAGGGTCTTACTCCCAGAGTTTCATGGGGTGTGCTAAAATCAGTGTTCTTTTCCCCCAATATTTTTTACTCGCACAATAGACTTCGCTGAACAGGAGGGACTGCTCATAGTATAACCACATTAGAGAATGTCAATAAATAAAAAGAGAAAAATTATCAGGATGATAAAGTAACTGTTAATGTTTAGTAGACATACCCTGAACCATTCATCAAACTTGCCACATGACTGGTTTTGTTCCCAGGGGCAGCACAAGCATCAATCACATGAGAGCCGGGTGGGGCAGCTAGAACATGTGCTGGTAGGCAACTGGCCTATATTAACAAATAATATAAAAAAGATCAGTGTCACAGTTGAACTTTCTATCACAACCCCACAGGATTTCTCTTTATTACGATGGAAATGTCAATTAGAAGGTTGCCAAACAGAATGATTTTTTAAAAAAAGATTTGTTTTTACAGCACTAATATCTGCAAGCTGATCTATGCAAAAGACTTTCTTGTTAACTCCCCTCTGCACGAACAATTTGTATCTGAAAGATACTGTTTACAAAATCATCAAAAAAAAGAGCCCCAAAACCTCAGAAAAGCCTTGGAAAAACATGAACAGAAGAAGTTCATCTTGCCAAGAATTTGTGACATTAGCTGTCCTTACTTTATCTTGAAGTATGATGTGTCCACTGACATAAAGAGGATGATCATGCAGATCTGTTCCTGCAGGAAACACCAAGACATCTGAGAGGTGTTTGTCACACATGAACTGCTTACATGAAGAATTCTAGTTGTGGTAACAGAAAGAAAACAACATTGTTTAAAATAGTGTAACAACATGATGAGTCAAAGAAAAGCAAGAGTGTAATGTGAAGACTGATTGTCCAGATTAGGAGAGCTCCTTTAAGGGCCTATGACAATTTTTTTCCTTTTGTTTTTATTTAGCTTATCATATGTACAAACCAATTCCAATAGAAGAAAAATTTCCAAAAAATTAAAACTCATATTTTGGGGGCCCTTAAGTGCACTTAATTTGTCTTAAAAGTGTCTCCTGGACTGGAAATGAGTTAGTGGATGATGACATAGAAAATTGTGAAAACTCTCAGTTGACACATAGAATGCAACTGACTGATTGCACAATAACCCAAGAAGAGGTTTCATCAGATTCAAGCACTTTCCAAAGAGAGTAGAATTTAAAAATTACATCTTTGTCCCTTTTCCTTAATGTTTGCTCACAAATTAGCAAGATATTCACCTGCGCAGCTAATGAAGCAATATCTTGTTTGTCTACCAGTTGATAACCATTATTTTCAAAATCATTTATGACATCTTTCAGTGTTGTCTTTATCCTATTGACTCGTACATATCTTGGAATTGAGCCTCACAAAAGAAATTATAAAAGGATTAATCCATGACAAATACAAAAAGTTGTAAACACAAGACTGCAAAAATGTTGACCCCTAAGGGGCATAACAATGAGACCCAATAGCCTTATGGGAAATGTTTGCACGGTTACATAATCAATACTTTACTATTCCATGGTTTATTAAAATCTCTCTTTATGACAATTCTCTTCTTTTAGGAAGGTGTGGATGAACTCTGTCATTTGCTGTGTGCAGCCAATTGTGGTTATCACATACATGTGTATCCATAATGCTACTGGGTCACACAGTTCATTGCTTCCACTCTTTAGGGTCAACATTTTTGCAAACGAATGTGATGAAAAGTCTTTGCTATGTCCCTAGGTCAACTGATCCTGGATCAGATAAAAATCCCTGCAACCTGGGAATAAAGATTAGAAGATCAAGGAAAGCTATCCAGGCAATCATTAAATTAACCTAGTATGGATCCAGGAGGAAAAAGGAGTAGGTTAAGGAAAGACATTCACAAAGAGCTTATTCACCTCTAAAAATTAGCCAAGCCAAGCCAAGCTCAAGCAAGCTGCCTACTCGATTGATACAGAATTCTTTACTTACATAGTCTATTACATACATGTACATGTAGATACTACTAGCTTTCAGAAAGATACAGCTTTCCTTTGCTGTTTATTTTCAGAATCACATTCAGTTTTACTCAAACAGCTTATTAGTGGACCTCTGGTTATCTATTTTCCATGTTTATTTTAGAAAAAAAATTAACAGAGTATCACTGATAAAAAAAGTAAAACTGCATCAGACTGCGTTTTACATAAAATCAATACTCTTACACAGAATGTATCGTACCTTAAAAACGATTTAATACAATATTTTCAAGTGTTTGAACAAATAATTTCCCTACCCCTTTCACCAAACTTTGCTTAGCTGAAACCCACACCAACCCCACCCCTATAGGATTGCAACTGACCCTTCAGGGATGGGATGTGAAAATTTGCAAGAAGCAGAAATCATTGAGTGGTCACCTCTCTGTATTTTTTAATTACCTGTCTCTACAGCAGGTTTAGGCAACAGATCCTCATTGCGATGAACCTTGGCTTTGATCTTCAAACGTGCCAAACATGACTGAAGGGCAGCTTTGTGATTAAAAATGAACTGTTTCAACTCTCCACCACATTCGATTCCTTGGCCAAACAGGAAGTCATACACTAACACTAAGGCATAGCTATGTTTGAGCTGAATAATGGGAGATACCACTATTAGTAAAACGACTTCGAGAGCAATTTAGTGTTAATAAACACAGATAAATTTTTCAAAGACAACAAAATTACACCCAGCCCATAGGGGTTGTTTATATTTTACATGTAAAACGCATCACAGAAAGTCAAGACAATCATCGTTATAATCATAATATAGTTACCTTTTTCTCAAGTTTTAGAAGTCTTGTTTGTTCAAAGATATCTTCCAAAATTCCTCTGTCTACAAATAAAGGAACATTATTCATCGCTGAATCGAAACACAGCTTCGATTTCACATATGGAGACAAAAACCAAAAGAGAGCTAAAAAACGGAAAGCTTAGGGACGCTTATAACAACTTAACGATCTCCCACCAACAATCCAAAGAAGAGGTTTAACAGATCTCAAAATTGAGAGATCGAACATTAGTACTTCAGAAAGGTTTGAGCAAAAAATATAATCTAAACTCACATTTCAGTGTTTCACACACCAAGGCGTAAAGTTTTTTCTTCTTGGGAAAGCGACTGTTGATCGCCAAGTTTTTTGCAGTGCCTTGTTTCTTTGTCACTTTGTCTACAATTTGTGCAGCGCATGAGTACAGCGCCGCCATTTTGTAAATAGCGCGATTCTGGTATACGTGTCATGTAAGACAGGCGAAAAGGCACCTAGTCAGGTATGTCATGTAACATGTACTGATATATGACCCTATTCAAATCCCTTTCACACACACTTTGATTGGTTCTTATTTATGATCTATAAGAGAATTAGATCTTATGATCTATAAGTGATTAGCATGTAAGTTCTCACTATAATATCCATACATTAACCTACACACAGGTGACAAGAATACTCAAACTAATCAGGTGGAAGTTTTTATCTTGATCCAACACCAAATTCTCGTTACTAATTTACAAGGAGGTGTGTAGCAACAGGAGAGAATTAACAATCAGATCTTGGAACTTGAGGGTTAAAGATCATAATAGACTTCAAAATGTGACAAGTACATCAACACACTCTTCTGTGCCCTGTGTGCCACTTAACTTTTTTGTTCTAAATACGTTTGGGGGACTGCTATTGTAAAGAGTAGTTGGATTATTTTTCTTTTTGGGAAGGGGAGGGTGAGATTGGGCGTACGCCTTTTAACTTCTTACAGCGACATCTCTTTTTCCGCGTGTCAAGGTAGAAATTTCACCCCTGCGGGTTTGATTGGATAACACAAGAGCTTTTAATTTCAAAACTTAGTGTTCTTTTATTGGAATATCAACTTCACATCAATTTATTTTTTATCCTAAAAAAAGATACTTCTTCCTAGCTACATTACTTTTTTCACTAACACAAAGACGGGCAACGCAATTATCTAATCTTTTTTTATCGAAATAATCAAGTCCACAGGTAGCTGAGGAACTTCAATATGGAGAGACTTTGCAAGATTATAATCTTTGACCTACAATCCAACTTTTAAGTTCATTTTCGATGCCCTGGTTGACCTCTCAGATATAACAAAAAATTTCTCCTACTCTTTTTCTTGATCAAACAGACCTCTGTCTGTCCTTTATCAATTGCATATTTAATTATTCCACATTTCTGTGTTAAATTGAACTGAAATACATCTAAAGGCATAGTCTTAAATAAGATCAAATTATGCAGTTAATTAAATGGCATTACATACGTTGATTAACAAATATTAGACCAAATTCATGCTGATTACAAATGTTTTTTTCTTACAATACTAATCTAAGTGGAAAAAGTACTACAATTAATCTTACTGAGTCTACTAAATTAAATTCCCTCACAGTACTGTCTTAAACCCAGATCTAGGCTTCTCGATTTAAGTTTTCTTTAGGAACTTTCTAGACAAATCTAACGTTCAATGGGTTGACACAACTGAAAAAGGCTCTACCTTTCAACAACTGTCAAAACTTTAACTAGATTGAAGAAGACAGGAGCCTTACCGAGGCGCTACTACTAACGCTATAATAAAACTTCAGGACCCAAAGAGGCCAAACTCAACTTCTTCTTCAATCCTTTCGTGAAAATCTTAAGAAATGTAAACATACAAACATCTTAATTAAGCAAACGTTCCGAGAGGCCAATGAAAATCTGATTACATTTACTCAGCAACATCTTTCAGTGGTATACAAGCTTTTACAAGAATCCGTTGCTAAATTTTAATTAAGATTTACCATGAGAAGGCTCGTGTTGATCTTAAGATGAAACCGTTTCTTTTCAATTCAAACAAATAAACAAACAAGCAACAACAATAAAAAGCCTGATGACCAGCAACTAACATGGCCCTTCCGATAAGTTCCTTTGACCCGACTTAGTTACTCGTTCGTGCGTTGCAAAGAGAAGGCTCTGAGTAAGTCTTGATTAACCGGTTTTCGACACTCACGGTTTTCCAGTTCCACTCACTTACGATTCAATCAACCACTAAGCTTTCTTCAGAGAAAACTTAAGCCCTCTCTTAATGCATACCCGAAACGCTTAAGTTTTTTCCTTGATCATTTGTTGCAAACCAAAATAGTTCAGAATCCCAGTGCGCGGGCAGTCTAGTGTAATACTTTCCTCGTTCATTTCATTAATGTAAGATGCAACCTTCCGGTTCACTCTTTTCCCGCCTGAATTTTTACCAATGCATCGTTTCCATCGTCAACAGGGCAAAAGATTGAGAGATAAGTACCTTTACAAAAACGTATCAAACTTAAGCGTTGACGTATAGGAAAGGTTTTCATATTTCTTGCAAAATGATCGTTTCCTTAAAGTTTTCACCTTACGAAATTCAAATCTGAAATAAAATTAAACAGCTACACAGTGATCCTTTCCAACTGTTAAGGAAGAAAAAAAAACAGGCATTGTATATTCAGAAAAGTCCTACAGATTGTCTCCAAACAAATTATTAATTGCTAAACATTCTGAGATTAGGGAAGCGAACCTTTCCTGTGATAAACTCGCTTTCTATTAATAATAATCTCCCTGACAAATCTTCAGCAACAGCACGACAAGGGTAGTCATAAAATACCCTCATTTAAACACACTCATTAACTAATCGAATTAAATATCTTTTAAGTGGAGAGAAGTTAAAAAAGTCCCGCTTTCTTTCTGAGATTTGTCTTCTTCCACATTGGCAGAGCATCAAAAGCGCTTTTGGTCATGTTAAAAGCTTTCTGCAAGGAAAAAGAAAAGCACACGTTCAAATGACTTGAAGGACAAGGGGACAACAACGAAGAGAAGAAGAAACAAAGAACGAAGAGAAGAAGGAAAGAAGGGAAGTGGAGACGCAGGTCGAAAGGCCAAGGAGACGAAGAGATGAAGAGACGAAGGGACGAAGAGACAAAGAGACGAAGAGAAAAGGGACCAAGAGACGAAGGAACAAGGGACGAAGAGAAGGGAAGTAGAGACGCAGGTCGAAAGGCCAAGGCGACGAAGAGATGAAGAGACGAAGGGACGAAGAGACACAGAGACGAAGAGAAAAGGGACCAAGAGACGAAGGAACAAGGGACGAAGAGAAGGGAAGAGACAAAGAGGCGAAGAGAAAAGGGACCAAGAGACGAAGGAACAAGAGACGAAGAGACGAAAGGACAAAGAGACAAAGAGAAAAGGGACGAAGAGACGAAGAGACGAAGAGACGAAAGGACAAAGAAACGAAGAGAAAAGGGACGAAGAGACGACGGAACGAGGGACGAAGAGACGAAGAGGAAAAGAGACGAAACAAGCAAAGCACCAAATGACGAACGGACCGAAGGCGACCGAGGGGTGAAAGAAAGAAGAGACGAATTGACGACGGAACGAGGGACGAAGAGACGAAGAAGAAAAGAAACGAAATGAGAGGGTCACGGAATGACGAACGGACTGAACACGACAGGACTGAAGGCAAACGACAGGTGAAAGAAAGAAGAGACGAATTGGCGACGGAAAGATGCAATGATATGACGAAGACAGAGTAAAAAGACAAAGGGAAGAAGGAAAGATGAAGGAGAGAACAAGAAAACGAAAGGAAAAGTTACAGAGGAACGCGGGGAGAACAAGAAAACGAAAGGACAAAGTTACAAAGGAACGCGGGAACGAACGAACGAACGAACGAACGAACGATACCATATCGAAAAACCTTATTTTCTTACCTGAAAGTCGTCTGCACTCAGATATGTCTCAAGTCTTGACGGATCAACCCCTTCAGGGGGCGGTTTTTGTTTCAGTTCTTCTAAACTGTACTCCTGCCTATAAATCGAAATACAAACACATCAATTTTCCCCTGCAAGACTGTTTGAGAGTCATTTTTATGTTTCTCAACAACATACCTTGAGAGTTTGGTAAGTTCTGTTTCTACTTTTACCGTATCGCCGTCAGCTTTACCATCCTAAAAGAATAACGAGGTTTTATCAAAACAAGTCCTTTAGATTTTTTCCTAAAAATGGCACAAGGATTGCAATAATTTTTTTCCAAATGAAGTCAATCATTACTCACCGCAATGTTTATTTTGGCCACGTCGGGTCTTTCCTCCCAGAATGGGAAAAGCAGTTTGAACGATTTTGGTTCCAGACCAGCAAATACAATGAATACTTGAGAGAAGTCGCGCTTTAGTTCTAAAAAAGACAAAATCTAATCAGGACGCACTTCTACCCAAAAATGTAGCCTGTGAGCACGATGCGCGTTTCTCCGCCCTCGGGAAGATTAAAGACGAGTCGGGGAGAGGTTTGCCGGGGATCTGGCACCAATAATGAGGACGCCTAACCGACCTCTCTCTCGATTCTCATATTTTACTTCGGGCAAAGAAATGATCGTGCCTAATAAAAAGGGCCTGCTTCAAGGCTACTTAATATGTGTCACATCGACAAACAACTGAGTTTGTGCAGTTACAAGATTTTAAAGAGACTGTAAAGAAAAGAAAAAGTAGCCTTGAACTAGAAGCAGTATTCTCAACAAATTTTTGGAAAGCTATACATGAATAAAACAGTCGCCCGCAAAGAATAAAACGTATTTCAGATTAGTCAAAACAGTCAGTTATATACAGGGTTTGTCTTTAATTAAAGTAGCTGGCGCTTCAGAAACAAGTGGCCGGTAACAACACTGGTAGCCAGGGATTCTAAAGGACACGAATAGGAGTAGATTATTTTAAGGGAGGCATCACTCGTACACAGAATAATAATACCCTTAGGTATCCTACCAAAGTATTTGCTGGCCAAGTTTCCCAGAATATCGGTTCTTTTATGAGACAGCTACTCTGAAATACGTTCCAGCACAACACAACACAACACAATAACAGAGTGAGGCGCCACACACAGCACTTGAACTTGTATGCCGACCCTCCTTGAGGTAAAAAGGATTTTAAATGTTACATCATATTATACCTGTTGCGTATGACTTGATGGTTTCCATCGACAGCCGTTTGTCGTTGCTCCATCGCGTTTCCGCGGAGCCTGTTGTTGAGGCTCTGGACTCGGAATCGTCTCCACTCGGCCACCAGCCGTGCCAAAGATAAATGACGTGCACAGCGTCCACCATAAACAAGGCTGAGACAGGAGGAAACAGCATTCAAAAGGTTATATAACAACCGGAAAATTCTGAATCGAAGGTTGACACTAACCGAAAGCACCCCTTCTGATTGGTCCACAGAACTTACGCTACTTTCCTTAACCAACGAGAAGTCAAACGAAAACAAATCGCGACTTCGTCAATCACGTTGGCTTTGGTTTTACGACATTTATTCGTAACGTGCTTCAGTCTGACCCGTGTACAGCTAAAACAAACAGCCTTTCGTTTTAATTTCAACTTGCGTATTTGCTCCATCAAATCGCTGTTTTCAATTCATCAAATGCACTAATCAAAGTTCACCTAAACTCTAACCGCTCACGTGTTTCTTTTTTCGTGAATGCTTAATTACGAGCAAAATTGGGTGCAGAAATTGTATTGTGAAATCCTACCAACATGAGGCCCTTCATCCTTCATACCTGGTTGATCTGCTGAGTACAGTTGTGATTGAAGAATCGGATAAGGTGTGATATGATCAGATCTAGCTTGGTTTAACACTTCAATGGCCTCAAACGAGCCACTGGAGCTCTTCAGGTGGAAAACACGCATCGTATAGTCATGTTTCTTCGAATCTGTCACAGAAACGAAAGGATGTTACATTAACTCGGTTCTGAGATGCTACGAATACCAAACAGCAGTTTAAATAAAGCCACTTAACACAAGAAGGCGCCTGACATATTATTTACCGTAATCCATTTAATGCTAGGATTACCCCGCTTTAATCGAGGGAATTTCCTATTTCACGTTCCAGTCTCACAGTAATTTACAGAAACGAAAGGATGTTACATTAACTCAGTTCTGAGATGACCAAGTAGCAGTTTAAATAAAGCCACTTTACGCGATAAGGCGCCTAGCATATTATTAACTGCAATTCATTTGATGCGAGGATTACCCCGCTTCAATCGAGGGAATTTTCTATTTCACGCTCCAGTCTCACAGTAAGTTAACCCTTTGGTCCCTTAGAGTGACTACAATCCAATTTCTCCTCACAATGTCAACCCTGAATCAAACATTTAAGTTACGAGAATAAAGGAAATGATCAACAAAAAAAGAAGCTCTTGATTGTTAGACAAGTTCTCCTTCTCAGTACCTTAGAAAATGTATGGAGAACAGAATGGAGAATATCCATACTGATGTTAGGGAGTAAAGGGTTACAAACCTTCAAGAAGTGAAACAAAGCCTGTCTTTCCACCGAGAACATTCCAAAAATCTTTGCTCTCGTCCCCTTCGGAAACTTCTTTCGCTTTAAACTCCTTGGAATATTGCTTGTTGAACCTGTTGGAGTAAGGTGGAAAAAACAGAAGATTTACCAAACGATAAAATCAGAAAACATTCGTTGTAACAAAGGGCTAACACTCGAAACGTCAGCCTTGGAAACTCTCTTCACGGTGGCCAATTTACATTACCAACTCATTTGATAAAACTAAATTATCTAGTTATGCCCCCACCGACGCAGCATCACAGTTCCTTTAGAATCTTACCCCTATTTTGCAGCAGCAAAAAGGATTCTCTCCTAAAGCTAAATATTTACGCTCTAAAACTTCACCTCTATAGTTACAGGTAGGATATTCGAAAAAATACCGTCTGGTTACTATCATCAGTGGGTTTTTCCTTCCTAAAATTCCAAACATGTTACTTACCATTTCTTTAGTCTCTTTGCGGCGCTTACAGCCACTTGCTTCGTGGCTGCAGGGGATTGACAGCCGTGCCAGGCATGTACGATTGATTTCTTGTTGTCCGCTACAATAAATGACGTACGCGATCTCAGGCATGAGGAACTGTAAGTAAAAACGAGAGAAAAGATCAATTCTCAACACAGTGTAAAGTTATATTCAAGTAACCCGCGTCCTGCAGATGGTCTGCCTGCAGGCTACAATGTAAACTGCTTGTTTTCTTCTAAGTTAAAACCGGCACCTTATGTTTGTTTCCTCTTGGTTTCAGCTCACTCAATCAACGATTAAATAATTGAATAATTTCCTGCCAAATAACCTCACCTTGCTGGTATTTGTAATAAATAAGATTCTTCGGGTTCCTCATTTCGCACGATGAAAAGCGCGCCATCATCTTCAGAAGAGACCAAAATGAAAGTAACATATTAACTACCATTTATTTACTCAAACAGATGCTGCGGCGTATATATATAATTTTGCAACTGACAAACGGCGCTTGTTTGGGGGCAATCGTCGAAAGTAACTGCGATGTCTATCGAGCAGCTTCCAATTGCGTGTTAAAAGTAATCGAGGGTAATTTAGTATCATCTACTGAGTTGATAACTTAAATTGGCCACCGTAAAGAGTTTCAAAGCCGACATTTACAGCGTTAGCCCTTTGTCAGAGCAACTGACTCAGTTGATAATACTAAATTACGCTGTTATAATCTCCAACACCGCAGTTTCTTTAGAAATTTATCCCCGTTATTCGAAAGAAATCTAGGATTGCTCTGGTTTTGCTCTACTCCCCCAAGAGATTGATCGAAAAACTCTCGCCATTTTCTCAACCAATCAGATTCAAAATTAAAACTAATCGCGACTTTGCCACCCGCGTTTTCCCGTGCTTGGGACAGTTTGCGAATTTTCACTTTGAATTATCATTAGCTACTCGAGACACTTTCCTTTGGCCTAATTGGCAGGTTTTGGTGCTTAGAAACTTAGTCCAAAAGCGCTCTAATTAGCATAATTTCAGCATAACTATGAACATACAGCTATCAGCAAACTAAATAACCGACAGCTGTTGTTCCCTATAAGAAACTACTTGCTAAGAAGAACATCATTAACGGTGTAAACTCATACCTGTCTCCTCTAGAGAATCTTTCCTGTACAATAAAACAAAAAGTAAATTGCGTCAAATTTCTAGAAATCGAACAAACCTTGTTTGTGCTTATTTCCGGAAATCCAAAAGGTAAAATGTTTGTCTAAGAAGTTTTAGAGAGACTCACTTTCCTAAGTGAACAACCATCTTTCCTTCGAACAATCTTGTGAAACAAGGAGGTTCCTTTCCTTGCGCGACCAAAACCTGGAAGACAATCATTCTTTAAATTAGCTCTTTTTCCTTTTTCCTTTCCTTGCATTTTTAAAGGGCGAAGCGCTTCAAGTTGGTGAGCAAGTGAACGAGAAAGCATCGTCAGTTTTGAAATCCAGTGCCACCTTCTCAACCAAGTAAATGCAAAATTAAAAACCAGTCGCAACTCGTTCATTCGCGTTTTCGCGCGCTTGAAGCTTGCCCACGTGTTCATACTTTGATTTCTGATTGGCTCTTGGTAATTTTCTATGTTTGGATGGCCGTTTTGATTGCCCGTCCTCGTTTCGTTGGGTATTAAAAGGTGGGATGGTACCTGAGGCCCTTTGTCGGAGTCAAGCTCGACAGTCATAAGAGCGGCAGTTCCTTTCTCATTCAGTGAACTGTCTTTTCCTTGCCAGAAGAAGTACGCCACCTTATCCCGACCAACATCCTCATAGCGAGACTGCTTCCCCTTCAGTGTCTTAACGCCTGTCAACTTCACACAGTACTTCCACCTCACCACGTAACCTAGCAGTGGAAGAGTGTGTTCAGCAATACGGTAAACCATGTGAAATTTCATCTAAAACCCACCGCGCTTACCTATCGCTTTAATTTTGGAGCTTCCAACGCTTTGTTAAATCAAGGAGCCCTTAGCTCACAAAGCACTAAGAACAGTTCGCGTAAAAACAACTCTACCTTTTAACTGAATCGCGAAAAAATACAGGGTCGCATTTTCTTTTTTTCCTTTCTTCTTTTCGCTTTACTTCTCTCTGCCATGGACCTGGGAAACTTGCACCACCCTCTCCACAAATCACGCACAACTTAAAGCTAATTGTGACTTGGTCGCACGCGTTTTCCCGCGCTTTTACCCTGAGTTCTCATTGGCTCATTGCAATGCCTACTATAGTTCTGATTGGCCGTTGTGTTTTCTTTGGGTTTGGCTTTACCAGACATAATGTAAACGGCCGCACACTCGTTGCAATAATAAGTTCACTGTTTACGGAGTTTTAATGTAATGTTAACCGATGATGATGTTAACTAAGGACCGAGCAAAACAAAGCAGCCAACTTATCTAAAAATGATTACCAACCTTCTGATGAGAAAAAATGGCCATGTTCCTCTTCAGGGAGCAGTTGATAAGAATATTCCTTAACATGCCAGATTTTCAATGAAATTGAAGAAACAATAAACTGCCGCCCCTCATCATCGACGGTACCTGTGCCACGCCCCACGTCAAAACCTACAGATAAACAAATGCTGAAGTATTCTTATCCACTCCAAACTGACCATAAACTGCTCGAAAAATAAGTCTACGACAACCTTGAAGTTAAGTTTCCACTCTTACCTTATATGCATGTTTAAAGTTGGGACTTCAGTCTCTTAACATGCGTGAAAGAGGGAAAACGTACAGACAACTCGAGTGAGCCGGAAAGTTGTTAACAAAAGTACTGAAAAGGTACATTTTTCCCCTCAATATTTGTAGCACACGACGGTGTTTATATTGCAGATCTTAGTGGTATGCTGGATCACTACCTTACTGGACAGGCCACCTTACGAGTTGGAGACTGGTCATGATTTATCGTCGGGGGGGAAGGGGAAGGATTTTGGTTATGTAACGATGAAATCTACCTGATCCCTCCTTAAGCTCTGTATTATTAGTCTTGAGGTGGGGGAGGGGGCAGAAAAGCGATAGATTTTGGTTGCGACACTAAAATTTACCTGATCCCTCCTTAAGCTCTGTATTATTCGTCTAAAGAATGGGGGAAGCGATGGATTTTGGTTGCGACACTAAAATTTACCTGATCCCTCCTTTGGCTCTTTTGTATTCTTATGATTCCCTCTCGTTGACGGTCAATTTTCTTTAGCGCCCCCCCCCTCAAAATACTCTGTTGGCGGAAACTCCCCCTTGCCCCTTCCCCAGGGCAATAAATAATTACAGGTCCCTTTGGAGATATAAAAGTTTGATCGGCCAAACAACATACCCTCTAGAATCAAGCTTGGCTCAGAAGGAAGCTCAATCAAGTCTGCAGGTTCACAAGGCTGCATCTCGAATATGCTGCTGGGTCGCTTCTGAAAATTGTATGTATTATCGTATGTAAATATAAAAAGCTTTTCTAACAAAATAAAGTGTATCTCAAAGCCCCTTTTGGATGTGCTGAGTAAGCCACTGAAAAATTGTGATGACTACCTCTTACCAACTGAGTTCAAGGCCCGTACTGCAAAGTAACGAAACCCCTTTTTTTCCGCTCGGAGTTATGGAGGAGAAGATTTCAATTCAAAGAATTTTTGAATTGTGCGGGCCAAGCAGTAAAATAGGGCCCGCTAACCTGATCAATGATAGCACACGTATCAACGGAGAGATAAGAGTAAATGTTTATGGCAATTGGTGTTTAAAGAATCATTGCGCTGCGTCGACGGACATCTTGGGTATGCTGCATAAACCCGTGTATGTTAGGTATGCTGTGAAACTCTTATCTTAGGTATGCTGTGTGGAGCAAGTCTGAATTGCAACTACCCACAATCACTTTCAATCAGAATTTGGCCAAAAACAATCTGGTCTCTGTTTTACACGGGAAACGTTTTAGTTTGCTTAGCAATTATACTACGTAAGCGCGACCTGTGATTGTATATGTGTGGCCAAAACCGGTTTTACTTGATTCTCGATGAAAGTACATCTTGCGTCCGCCCCATACCTTTTTGCTTCGTGTTCTTACATCCCGGCTCTCTTCATGATCAGAATAAGCCTTCTGCTTGCATTAGTGAAGAGGGTTAGTGGAAAGATCAGAAAGATTACAATACTCATTAAGAAACAGTATTTAAGTATTTATCTTAGTCAGAAGCTTTGTCGCTCTAGAAATGCAATATCAGCGCCACAAACGATTAGATTGATATATAATAGAATTTTAACACGCGCGAACAAAGAGAATTAGCGAAATTTGTTACCTAGCCATTGGGCAAGCAAGTAATATACGGGGGGCACTATGGTACACAGCCAATCGGAGAAGAGTATTTTGTACCACGTGGTACAAATGAACCAATCATATGGGGGTAAGTTTTTAAAAAAACTGTAGTGCTGCGTCAGTGGGAGAGTATAACAGGTAATTTAGTGTTAATAACTGAGTTAGAATCGCTCTGACGAAGGGCTAACGCTCAAAACGTCATGCTTTTTACCCTTTACGGTGGATAATTTACGTTTTCAACTCAGTTGTTAACACTAAATTACCTGTTAACCAATCATATGGCCGGATGGGCACCGAAGGTTGCGCAATATCGAATCGCCATCTTAGATGCCAATCCGGCCAAATGATTGGTTCATTAATAGCACGTGGTACAAAATACTCTTCTCTGATTGGCTGTTTACAGTAGTGCCCCAGTGTACTACTTAAGCAATATCTTCAAGCACCGCTTAGAACACAATATTCAGAGGTTAGGAAAAGGGTTATCAAAATATGAGAAGCTTAGTAAAAGTATATCTTCAGCTGAATTGATCATACCTTTGCTGAACATAAATTAGCCGTTACAGTGTAATTATCTTTAGACTAATACTTTCGTTTAGATTTCTAGTGTCAGGAATAGAGTTCTGACACACTATTACTAAGTAGCAGTTCGTTAGTACAAATATAACATATTAGTAAGAAGCGTAACTGAAGAAGTTTACATTAATTGAGCCTCAATATTCGAAGTTATACAGTGGAAAAAGATGTGTTTAGATCCAATAAACACAACAATGAAACACGAACAAGTAATTCTTGATTTCAAACCCACAAATCCAAATCAAAGTGGAAATTGAAACACAGCAATTTTCTTGGCTGCCTGCATCTTGAGGAAAACGAATTCATCTGACTTTCACGCATCTTTTTTTTTTTTCCTTTCTCCTAATCGCTCGCCTTCTTTTGTCGCATTCCCGAACTCGCAATAACTAAATCTAAATGACCTAAACAACTTATATTTTACTACCAACCTACCTCAGACAGATCAGTGAAGCTTCCACTTATGGGCTGTTTAACAAAATCCTGTGTGTAATCGACGTTATGATCTGGCCAATCAACGAACTTTTCCCTAAAGAGCACAGTCTCTGAACGAGCTGTCATGCGCCCAAACAAAGCCCAGGATGGGCGAGTTACTTCAGTTGTCTTGGGCGGATCATCTAAGAGCGTTTTAGGGTCTAACGGACTGAGGCTACTCCTGAACTTGAATGATTTATTAAAGATCTCTTGTGCCAAGGCCACGCCCTTTGCTCGCGCCAAAGCGTCACAGTTTCTACCGAGCCACAGGTACACTTCTGAACCAAAGTCAACCACGTACGCCTGGATGAGCAACAACGGGAATCAGTTTTTATTTGTTAGTTATGAGGAGGCACAACTTTCTGACTAATTAAAAGTAGTTATCTACAACTTTTATCCAAGGTTCGGCGAGTTGGGCGTTTTATGAGAACACAACACATAAACCGGACCATTAGATCGGGAGTCCATCACAGTAACCAAAAGGGTATCTGATCTCCGTGATCCGAATGATTTCATTCCAACAAGGAAAATCGTTCAAAGTTTTGAAAACTAAAAACACCTCACTCAGGACAATAAACAGCACAGCGGTCAAACGTCTGCGCATGCGTGAGGTTGTAATGATCAAGTGGCGAGCTAACGCTGTGAGAACCAAGTTGTCTTACACAAGTTTAAAAAAAAAACAACAACAACAACAACTCAAGCCAGTGAGTCACGGTGTTTTTAAAGCGTAGAGCTTTTTTAGTAAAGCTCAAAACAAATGGTAAATCAACAGGATTGCCGTAATTGATTAAGCTTTGTGTTCGAAAAAATCTCGAATTTTCCATTTCCCTTCCTTTGTTTATTTCACAGATTTCGATTTTCATTCGCTTACTTTGCGAAACAGCGGTTGTTTGTTTAGTTTTTCTTTAAAATTTTTCGCGGTAAATTGGCGGGTGCCGGCCAAAATTGATCCCCTCGCGCATGCCCAATGTCGACCGCTGGGTAACTAATCAGTAACTTTTATTTGAATGGTTACTCACGAGGGTTTCATCCACAGACACAAAATTAGGGAAAACTTTATTTATGCTCAATATCTGATATGAGTCAATCAATAGGGAACTGATCTCGTGTCACAGCATACCTGCGAATTATCCATCAAGTCTGCACTGAGGACACGTCCTGACAGGTCATCACGAAGTACCAGTTCCGGGGGATCTGATGTACAACTGACTCTGTAAATCAAGTTGGTCTTTATCAAACTTCTCTCATGTACTTCATCGGAAGGAAGATCTGCCGCATCTATAACAAAGAGCATCTAGTTAGGATGTGATAACCCTGGGTAATAAAATCACTGTGATTTTGTGCTTTTCTTGACGTCTGAGCTTGGAAGTGAGGCAAGAAAAGAGGGGGGGCTGGGTTCAAGTTAGGATATCAGGTGTCATGTAACGAAGATATTTCTCGCCATACAAGGCAACAGCTTTCCCACTCACCCAGGCTTTCTTACTCCCTCTCTTTTTTCGCAACTTTGCATGTAGTTTCGGTCCGTATTGGGAAAAACTGTGCCCTCTGTCTTGTGTACGGCCTCGGGCGGTATCCAAGACCTCGGGCACAGTTTTTCCCACTACGGACCTCCCTTCTGGTGAATAACATATATATATATCAACTTCTCCTAACTTATTTACAAGGATATGTATAGCAGCGATAGGGGAGAATTATGGGGCAGATATTGGGCAGATATTGGGCATTCAAAGATTTAAAAGTCAGCATCAGTTGTTGAAAAAACTTCAAATTTTTTCGATATCAAAATGGTACCTGGGACATCATCTTTGCCTCCCAAAGTCTTCCAGAAGAACTTTGTTCCAGCATCATTTATCTCACGACCTTGATCCATGATATGAACTTTTGTAGCATTACAACCCAAGTCTTTCTGCTTTACTATGATAGTGGAAACTTCCATTCCCTGTTAAAAAAGATTGATCAGTCATAGCCCCATTATAGATTTTTTATGTTGGCAAGACCAGCAAGGAGACATGGTTGTGAAATGATTTCATTTCTTTGCTGCAGGTCAAAAGATTTTAGTTTAAACCGATACTATTGTGTTGTGACCTTGGGCAACACAATTCAGTCTAACAGTGCTTCTCTCCATCAGGAGAGAAATGGGCACAAGCTTGCTATCAAGGGAACATGACAAACTGCTGAGAGATAAATTGTGATGGACGAATAAATTTTTCAAGGAGAGCAGCAATGATACCACTTGCTTCCTCCTACAGAAACCTGTAGAGGACCTCAAAGTAAAGATCTACTCCATATACTTGGTCCATAAAACTTCTTCTTAATCTCAAAATATTTAAAAAGATGAATCTCCAGAAGGAGAAACCCTTAGGCCAACATAACTGCATCCATATTTCATGGAAAGTGTTCTCTATTAGAGGTTTCCATGTGAACACAGGATGCCACATACCTTAGCTTTCTTCATTATACTGGCATCCTTCCCATTCCATAAATGGATATCCTTTGCAGTCACCAATACAAACACGTCTCCAGAATTAAGTGATTTGACTGAAGGCTCAACCAATCTTGTCTGAATATGCCTTGAACCTAAAGCAAAAGCCGATTTTCATAAGCTGCTATGACAAAGAGTCTATCTTCATTACATTTAATTCTTAAATCTTGATAGAAAAAAAATGCATGTGACTACTGATACAGTACAATTTCTATAGAATTGAAGTGAATTAGGGGTTGCATAATGATGCTAGAAGGTAGTGTTGTAGGATATTTGTCTAAAAATAGAAACCCACTGCATCCATAGCATAGCCCACAAAGAAGGAGTTTTTACTATACTGCTTTTTTAGTTATTTTTTAATAATTTTTTTATAATATTGTAAGATTCTGGTCCCTACAATGGGTTAAAAAGTAAAATGGTGATACAGCATCAATTATAGAGATCAGGAGAATGAAGCAAACTAATCGGTTTAAGACTGTTATCCTTATTCTCTAACATAATTTTTAAAGAAATCTCTAAAGTCATGAGGAAAATTCTCATCACATCATGGAAAGCACAGGGTTTATTGGGGAAACTGGCACAAACCTTTAATTTGTAACAGCATGACCGGTAAAAATCCTCCAAAATCTTTGATCTCCTTGCTAACTCCTGAAGCATCTTTGGCTGTCTTTCTCAGTGCAGTGCTTGCAGAAGCCAGATCTTCTGTGCTCGACAAACCAGCAATTGCTTCATCAGTGAAACCTTTCTGTTTTTCTGAGGAATAAGTTTAAATTATACAACAAAATCAATTTCATTTGTAAAGAAACACATTGGCCCTGTTTCAGCACTTCAGACTCCAAATCAAAATGTTAGGATTCTGGCTATAGTGCATGTCATAATATGGTGTTCCTAACTAAGGGATTTAAGTCCTACTGTCTGACTGAACTGTGGAGGGAACCAAAAAAAATTTCTCAAGATGGGAGAAGGATGACTCGTGATGAAATATTAACCCTCTATACCCTAACACCAGTTTACAATTTCTCCATACTGTTCTCTATACATTTTCCTCAGTATCTAGAGGGAGAATTTGTCTAACAATCAAGAGTTCATAGAGTTTGTGATCATTTACTTAATTCTCGTAACTATTTTGTCTCATTCAGTGGTGATAGTGTTAGGAGAAATTAGATGCTTATCATTAACAGGGGTTAAAGGTTGACCCATCTAAGAAAAGAAGCAATAATCTGCGGACCTACTCTCCCAGATACATTTATTCAGACACCTTTTTCCTCCCCTGCCCATCTCAATGTTGTCCTACAAGATGGCAATTAACAACACTGAAAGGGAGAAAGAGGAAAAAGAACATCACAGAACTTGTCCTGGAGAAGAGTCCCAACTAATTATGTCTGAGAGTGTAGCTGCTCCTTTAAAAGGAAAATGGGATAGTGCCATGAGTCATGTGCAGGACTTCACCTTGTGTTGACAAATACTTAAGATTAGCTTCCTTAATCAAACCTTCTATACATCAAACAACTTGAAACATCAGCTTACTTTTCTTGTTTACCATTGATGGCTTCTCCACCTCTCCGATCTTAAGAATCTGGTAGGAAAAAATGTCTCAGGTTAGTTATAATGACAGTCAGGAAGCAGCCAAATTTGAGTATCAACATTAGGCTTTGCTACACAACAACTTTCAGTTGAATATGAAAGTGATCTTTGCAGCAGTGAATGCTTCTTGGGTAGTAGTGCAAATAAGGCCTGAAAAAAATTCAGGCCTGGGTGGGATTTGAACCTATGATCTCTCTGCTATTGGTGCAGTGCTTAAACTGAGCTACCAAGCCAACTGGTAGCTGTTCATTATGTTGATTCCAAAAAATCCCCTGAAGTGATGAATAAATGACTGTGAATATATGAAAATCATATATATGAACTGCGGATGAAGAAGTGAATATGAAAGCCATCTTTGCAGTGATGAACACTACTTCAGCATTAGTGAAAATATGGCTTGAAAAAATTCAGGCCTGTACAGGATCTGAACAATACAGCAATTGAAAATCAGAGTCAGTAAATGTAATGCCATTCATTGTAATCATATTTTGTGATAATACTTATTTACTGTAACACATTGCAACTAGACAAAGCTCTAAGCAACAAGTTGATCCAGAGCAGATTAACTCACATCTGTAGTAGTTCTAAGGTCATCTCTGTTTTGTCGCTGACGCACAGGGTTACTACTGGCCGCACGCCGTCTGGTTGGCTTGATTCTCCTTCTTTGGTCAGAAAAGGCCTTCAAGCTAAAGTAGATTTTAAAAAAATTAACAGCAATTAAGAAAACTTGTAGATCTTGAAAAAGAAGCTGTGGTGATGTCACTATCAATCAAAACTTAATATGATCATCAACTTATCCATGAAAAGGTTTTTCAAAGTAACCCTTTAAAACCCTGAGAGTGACCGGCATTTAATTTCTCCTTACAGTAGCAATGTTAAGTCATTCATTAAGATCATGAGAATAAAGGAATGATTGCCGACCTAAGTAGCTTTGATTGTCTGAAACAAATTCTCCTGGTCAAGACCAAAATAAAGTATAGAGATTTGTATGGAGAATATGGAAACTGATGTTAGGGTGTAAAGGGTTAGTAATGGAATCCAAAAAAAAGAGTTTAACTAAGTAATACATACATGTGACATATGATTGCAGACTTCTAATGGGACACTTCTCAATTGGGAGAATTTGTTTACAAGTAATACTAGTTCTGTTTTGGACTTTGGTCAAAAATGGACTCGTAGACTTACTTGGATGTGATGCATGGATCCTCTGTACTTTCTCCTTCACCAAAGGTAAATGACTTTGGCCTCTCATCATCCTCCTTAATCAGTCTTTTCTTAATGTTATCTTCAATTGTGTATGACAAGGGTCTATCAGTTGATGAGCGAGATGTCAAGTTCCCATCAATTTCTGCTTCACTTGGCCCATCTTCCTCATCCTTGTCATTTTCACTCTCTGAGCTCAAGAAGTCTTCATCAACATCTTCAACAGTATCTTTGTCTTCTTTCTTGAAGTGCATTTCTGCTTCACTCTCAGTTTCACTCTCTTTGGCTGAGGTTTCCACTGTGTCTAGTGATTCTTGCTTCTTGATCTTATCGTCATCACTTGTTGTACTGTAATGCTCGATTTGATCGTCATCAGTGAATGAATCTCTTTGTGGAGCACTTTCCAAGGAGGTGGACTCAGCTGGAAGAACTTTGTCTTTGTTGTAGATTGGCTCTGGTTCCTCATTCAATTCATTTCCAAGTGTTGGCAAAATATCCAGCTCCTTGCTATAGCGTTTTTCAAGTTCATCATCTGTTCCACAACCTTCAGGCTTTCCACAAGGACCATACTCAGCTAGAGAAACTTTGCCTTTGTTGTAAATGGGCTCTGGTTCCTCATTCAGTTCATTTCCAAGTGTTGGCAAAATTTCCAGCTCCTTGCTCGAGCGTTTTTCAAGCTCATCATCTGTTCCACATCCTTCTGGCTTTCCACAAGGACCAAAATTTGGAGTCTCACTTTCTTCAGTTCCACTATCACTTACTTCTGCTTTCTTTTTCTCTTCCTTTCCTTTCTTTCTTTTTTCTTTCTTTTGCTTTGGAGAATCAGCAACCTCAGAACCAAAGGTCTTGGCAATATCAGTTGCTAAACTCTTTATCTCTTGTGCAGTGTCTGGACTCTCACTTACAAACTCATCTGTCATCTGCCTTCGGCTTGCCATGATTGCTTTCATATCATCGCTAGTACTCAGTTTCTTTTTCAACTTAGGTTTACTCAAAGCCCTTGGCTCTTCTTTTTGTTCTTTAGCTTGAAACCGACTCTTTAGACTTTCCAGTCTCTCAAACTGTTCCCCTTCTTCAAACTCTGGGTTTTTCAAAACTTGCTCCTTTTTGGGGGCCAAAAATCTATTCTTTATATCTTTCATCTTTGGAAGCATCTGGATTTCTTCATTGAGGGGAGTAGACTTTGGTATTGATTCTTCTTTTTCTTGCATTTTCTTCTTAATATCAGCCAGTTTAGGAACATATTCAAGATTATCATCTGCAATTGTGGGTTTTAGCGATTCTTCTTTTGTTGAAGTGAGCAAATTCTTCTTAATATCAGACACACCCTGACTAAACATGTAGTCTCTGGCTGGTTCAGCTGAGTCAGCTGGTCCAGCATGCTCATCAGCTGTAGGCTCAGGACTGAGTGACTCTCCTGAACTAATAGATGTCTTTTCCAGATGTTGGCCAGGAGTGCCAGAAACAGGCGACTTGGGGAGGTGTTCCCCATCACTCAATGAGGACATTGATGATCTCATAGATGAATCTCCAAACACATCAGTTTCACTTCCACTCACAAATCGCCGCCGTGACTGCATATACCTCCACTCTTGCTCTTTTTCGTAGTCTTCCTGCGTTGCTAGGTCAATGGGCCTGGGAAGGTCAAATCGAAGGGGATCATCAACCATGTCTGTTGAAAATGTCCATTTTAACATGGTTGTGCGTGCCCTTTCCAATTCAAGGTTTTTCTTGTACTCCTTCAAGGGGCCTTTTATTGGAACCTTACTCAGCACAGCAACAGAATCAGAATTATCTGCCTCCCCAAAAGAAGACCATGAACGCTTGCTGGCATCAACGGAGTCTTCATCATCAGTTTTCCGACGCCTACGCCTCATAGCAATTTCAAATTCATCATCAAGGTCAGACTTTGAACGCATGAGAGAGTAAGGATTAGGCTTCTTAAATTTTCTTGGTGTTGTAGAGCGATTTTCAAAGACTGCCTTCTCTTGTTCATCCTGAGGAAAGCGTGCTGCTACAGTGGATCTCCATCTACGCTGCCTTACTGTCTGTAACCATTGAGGTTCCTTTGGAGCTTCCCCTTCATCAATGACAGGCCTAAAATGAGTGATCCACAGATCATCTTTCTTCAAGGGGACATAGGGTTTGTTAACACCCAATGATTTGGATGGTTCTTTAACCTGCCACTGTTCTTTCAAAGACTTGACTGAGTCAACATGACCTTCATCAACTCCTCTGTTTTCTTCTACAGCTTCAGGTTCCTCAAATGTTTTCACCACGCCTTGCCGGGGTTCTCCATCTTTTTCATCATCATCATCATTCTCTGAAGGTGGAGGAGGCCACTGCCTTTCCAAATGATGGGGGGTTGGTTGTTCCTCAGAATGTTCTATTTTCCTACCAGCTCCAGATGCTGAGGTCAGGTAATCTTCTTTTATTCTTTTTACTGGTGCAGTTGACTTGATGTCTGGTTGCTGGTCTGTAGGGTCACGAGGTGAATAATCCATAATGTCATCATCATCATCATCCCTGACATTGTATCCCTCAATGGCAGCAGCATATCGTTCCTTTCTTTTGTCCACATCAGCACCCTGTGATCCTTTTCGCAAAGCAGAGGCATATGAGCCATAACCAGATTTTTTACCTCCTGATTTCTGTGCATTTATCTGTTCATTTTCCTTGTCAGTATCATCAACACTCTCACTACCCCCAGACAGGATTTCAGGATCACTTGGCCTTCTTTCCCTGATTTCTCTTTTGCTGAAGTCTGTTATCACCACAGCTGACTTTGCTGGCTCTTTACATTTTTCTGCCATTTCCCTCTGTCTCTTCTTTTCCCTCCTTTCTTGCCTCTTTTCTTCCCGACTTAAGGCCTTTGTTAGTTCAATATCACTGTCAGTAGTTGATGATCGAGACCGACCTCCAGGAACTCCTGAGTCATCAACTCCATTCACAGATTTGTTTTCCTCATCAGTGTCTAAACTTAATCTTCTTTGTTCCCTCCTTCTTCTCCTTGCTTCAATTCTAGAGATTCTTTCATCACTTTCCTCAGACATGACAACTGTTCAGTGCTTTTTACTTTAAGAAAAACCTCCAGCCAAGCTTGCAAGGAAACCCCAACTCTCTTTAACAGATATTTGCTATGCAATGGGAAAAATCACTCATGCATGCAATGCTTTGTGTGACAGATTTTTCTCTGGTCTCCTCTGGGTTTTGTTACAAATTCCAACCAAGTCCTTTCAAAATTCCCTGTGCAGCTTTTGATAACCCATCATTCAATGTACTGCAGTGGATTCAATTGGATATCCTGTGTGTTGAAACAGAGTCAACTCAGCAAACAGATTTTTGAGAAGAGATTATCTTCAGATACAATCACAGTGACCATCACTTCAGGAAGAAACACAAACAGTAATAATTTTACTGTGCATGAAATTTCTGAGCTTGACTAATTTAGAGGAGCATAGACCTTGACAGTGCTAGTGAATTTGTGATTCACAGCTTACAGCCAGCCTCAAAAAATGCTTGGCAACATAACAATTCTTGATATTATGAACATACCTAGATTTCATGTGACAGTCTCAAGCTGAACTCATGCAAAGTTGTCATGACCTCTATTACAATATTAAATCAAATGATTATATGCCTGAAAGAATGACAATAATTTGGTCAACAATTACACAGTTTGCAACCCAGTTTATAGATCACCCTACATTTCTCGCCAATCCAGGTTTTCGAATGAACTTTAATTCATAAAATCTGCTCATCAGCTAAAAGCAGATCAAACTATTTTAAGATATTGCTTAACACTGGTGACATGTAATTTAATCTGCCCTCAAACAGAAGGAAAAACAGGATTGCATGACTAAACTTCAGTTATCTTTGATCAATGTCTCAAGAGTTGTTATTCAAAACACCAAATTGAGCCTGATCAGCTACAAGACCCTTAAGATAAGACATGGATGTGGAATCTAAAAATCTGGAAGCAAACTAGAAATGAAAAAACTTTATAATTTTGGAAATTTGATGTTTAAGTCACTATTTATACATACTTGATGAAGGCTGATTATCAAAAGATCTTATTGCATTAAAATATAAGCCATTCCAATGCTTAATTACCTTTACATCACAGTGTTATCCAGCCGTGCAAAATTCAAGTTCAACATGATAAATCATCTAATTTTCTCTTTTCATATAATCATAAGACTTAATTAGTACACATTACATCAGAAGTTAAATTTATTTTGGTACCATTAGTAATATGAAAGATTATTAAGGAATTATATTAAATTCATTCATTATATTCCCACAAAAAAAAAGGAATTCAAAGTTTTAATAAATAATTACCCATTGTGATAAGACGATGGAGAACAATTAAGGAACAACTGAAAAACATTTTAAAATTTGCATTCACCCCAGGAACCTCATCCCACACGCACTTAGTTTTCACATTTGTAAGAAGAATCTTTGACGTCTTATATACTTCTGCTAATTTTACTTTTTCATATTTTTAATAAAAACAACTCGGTTTATTTTCAAATAATTCAAGATATAGATCAACAAAAAAGTCATCCAGCATGATTGTATGTTTACAACATTTCTGAAATAAACATAAGAGTGTTTGGTTAAACAATAACAGCAAAGCAATTCATTAGTTAACCCTTCAACTCCCACCTCAAATTTGTAATCCTCCTTACTGTCAACCATACAATTCTTATAATGTTGGTTCAGAGAATTTAGAATCGGAAGAACTAATTATCCCCAAATTGATATTTTTATTCATTCTCATCTCTTATCTGATTGATATTGTAAGGAGAAATTCTGTCTTGGTCACTCATGGAAGTTAAGGGGTTAACAAAACTGTCACTTCCTGCTATTAATTTTAGTTCGACCACAATAGTACTTGTAATCAATCGCACAGTATGAATGACACTAGAAAATTTTGAATCAAATATTTGGTTTAAACAATGCTGGACATAGATAGAAATAGGAGAGGTGGTAAATTTTGAGCTGGTTAAAGAAATAAAGAAAGATGTTTTTCATCTTGTCACAAGTATGGGACAAACAAAACATTCTGAGTCCCCATGAGGAATTGAACCTCAGACCTTCAAATGCCGTGCTCCGATGCTCTACCACTGAGCCACAGAGACTCCACAGTGAATGAGGTCTATTACGAAGTTCATATAACACGCATCCCGCATACTGCTAGGATCAGCAATGTCAATAGAGTAATGTTTATAAATAGAAATAAGAGAGATGGTAAATTTTGAGCTTAGTAAAGAAATAAAGAAAGATGTTGTTCATCTTGTCATGAGCGTGAGACAAAGAAAACATTCTGAGTACCCAGCAGTAGAGCATCAGAGCGTGGAATCCAAAGGTTTGAGGTTTGATTCCTCAGGCTGGCTCAAGAGTAAACAACTTTCTAAAAATTGAAACCCAATAACTCTATTGTAACTGATAGCATGTGAATGCTGTGTAAGAAATTGTAACTTTTTAAACCCAATATTTATAGGTAGGTTTTTTTTTTACAAATGTTCTGCAAAACAACTTTTTTATGTTATATTAATTTATAACCCTATTCAAAACTAAAAATATTAATTCTCTTACTGACTTTCTGGAGTACAAAACATAGATACAATTAATTGTAAAAGAAAAATCAAACAGAAATATTTTGCAAAAAATTGATTGGCGAGAAACTTCCTAATTAGGTTCCAAGTTTGCCATTTTTCATGGTGAGGTCTTTGGTCACTGAAAAAAAGGAACCTTCAAAGAAGGATAAGGGCCCATTTCTGAAACAGTCCATAATTAACAAGTATACCTTGTTTTTAAATTTATTACATAGGCTGTCCAAAACTTTAAATTCTTTTCACAAAACACACAAATATTCACAGTTTGAGTTTCTTCTCAAGGGATGCGCCATCTGATTTATGGTTGATTACATCTATGAGCTGATTGTAACTTAACTTATCTTGATGATGTCAAGCATCCTTGGCTGACAAAATCACTAGTAATTAAAATTTGAAAATACCTGTATTGTTCCTTCAAGCCCTAAATCAGATGAAAGTATATCAGATTTTAATTTTGCCATTTAATCCAAATGTAAATAAACAAAGGTGTTATTCTCAGAGTAAATGAGTATCGAGAAATTTGCATAAACATCTCAATGCCTTGTAGGCCTTCAAATTTGGGATAATTTATCTATAGTGACTTTAATTTTCATATTAATATAATTTTTAGTAGCTTGAGAAGCCTAAATTGTCATCAGTATTTGCCAAGAGTTTTTTCTGAAGGAATCATGGGATGATGGAATAATGGAATTGCATTTTTGACTACAATAATAGCATATTTCTGGCCTGTTGAGCAAGTAAACATGTACTAAATAAACGTGACAGATCAATTGCAGCACTAGTTTGGACGTTGTTACAAATTTAGAGTTATTCGATCTGTGGTACCAACAGACCCCTACACAGCAGTGCTATTACAACAAACTACGATTCCCGTCAATAGTTTTGTTAATTTATCAAGACCCCTGTGGAGTTACTACTGAGATCAGAGCATCACCGTAAGGTTCATTTTCACACACAAAGAAACCTGACATTTACAAGATGCGAAAAATAAACAGAGAAAAAATACATTGAAAAATACAATACGATAAGTATTCAAAATTTCTCAAAACCTGCCCACCAATACAATTTAGTTGTTCGAGTCCAAAACAAACAACTCAAGATAAGAAAAAATTCACAGACACTTCTTTATGTGCCCAATTTTCGAAAATAGGGGGAACTATCGCGCGATGGAATACATCATCGCTTAGAATTCATCTCTGAAAGAACTAAATTTAAACCTTAGTCAATTTTTGGAAGCGTATCACTGCGGTCTCAAACTATCGAAGGAAAACGACGTCTTCGTTTCACCGACAGAATTTTGAAAAACAAACAGATTCCTCATAAGGGCAGTTAATTTACTCTGAGAGAGCAACAGGCACTGAGCGAACTTATTAACACTAGTTGACAAGCTGTTTTTCATATATCTGCTTACCAGATTTGAAATTTGAGAAATTGCCTCTAAGTACTTTCTAGTAGGGCTGTTAAAGGGATCCAAAATGTATAGATTAAACAGCTTAGCTTGTCAACAAACTGAAGTTATTCTTGTAAACAGCACTACATGTGCAGACTTCAGTTTTGCGACAATCGAGGGAAGTACGAACTTCCTATTCACATTTCCGATCTGGCAAACAAAGGTATTTAATTTAGCCGGAATTGCGGCCCCACCTAAAAGGATTGGCAAATTCATCACATGAAATGTCCTTGTGGTATCCAATTTTTTTTTTTCACGCTACAACAAATACACGACGTGTAGTGAATCCGGTCCGTGAAACTATTTTGAAACGCGCCAAATTAAGATTTTTCTACGGGAAAACTTCAAAACCAAATTTGGCTAATTTTCGGGAATATCAGATCGAATGTAAAAGTAAGTTTAAGCGGCGTTAATTTAAAACAATTTAGTTCTTGCATGACAAATTTGGCACGAATCAAAAATTTTGTTAGTCATCTGTCGTCAAATTTCATGCACAAATATTCGATCGTTTGTTCGAATAAGTCTAAACCTTCCACATGGACATCGCAATTTAATAAAATTATCCGTCGTTATTATACTTCATTCACATTTAACGCCAGGGCAGATTTATGCCAAAAGGAAAGAAATCAAGACCGAAACTAAGAGAATCCTTGATTCATAATTAACCAAAAAAATTAATCACCGAATGGAGTCCGGATGCTACCAGCACATCTTGATATTATTTTTTTACAATTGTTGGCGACAACAGTCATAGGTTCCTGTCTGTGAACACTTAATACCACCACCCAACCCGCTATTTAAAATTTTAAGAGAGCAAAAAAACCTTAACATGATCATATGAATTGCAGTCTTTGTGGGCACAGCCGCAATATTGACTTCTACAAGCACACTTACCTGCTGCTCAAGAATTCGGAATTTCTCCTCGCAAATCCAAATTCAACAATTTCTTGCTTTTAGGAATACTTCAGCTCTTTGATTTCAGTTTTTATCGAAGGATCAAAGCAAACTCGTAGAGAGTTCGAGAAACCAGACACAATTATTCAAAGCTTCAAAGCGAACAAGGGCTACTCCACTTCTGGTTTCTGTCGCTACGTAACCCACTTATCCGTAAAGCAGGGCTTTCAAAAAGTTCACAGGTCGTCAACAACCGCAAGATATGCAGGATCAATGGCCTTGAAAAGTCAGATTTAAATTAAGCCGTAGAAGTAAATGGCAGGGAATACTTGACGAGTGTTTACAAGAGTGCAGATTTAGAAAGCTGCACGTCTCTCTTCACGCGGATATCCGCTGACAGGGGAGCGTCGTTGCAAAAGGGCGAGAAGAATCTCTCAACACCCCCGAGCTCACCCCCGATAGTCTCCTACGCTGTCGTTCTCCAAGAGGTCACAGCAGACAAAGAACGTTACGTGACAGCCCAAATGTCTACGATGGAGACTTTGAGTCAAATGTAGCTCAGAACAGCGGAGATTTGGACAAGAACAGAGTTCGCCCTAATATAATATTTTCCAAAGATTTTTAAGTAGCCAGCCTAAAAAGAAAGATAGCAGGCGGGACCTGGCACCCAAAAGGCACAATCATCTACTCCACTAGCAAATTATCCCCTTAGCTTCTAAGTTTTCTCTCCAGTTTTAATCATTCTTCAATAACGCGAACGGAAATACACCAGAGTTTAAAATCTATTTCAGATCAAGAAAGGCCTTTTAAAGTTTTTTTCTTTAATTTAAGTGGCTGGTGCTTCAAAAAATGAGCAGCTACTGAAAACGTCGGCCGCCGGTACTTCTGGTAAACATTTTCTGAAGGACATTTGCTGTGGAGATAGGTGTTCAGTTAGTAAAACGGAGCGAAATATTAAGCAGTGCGATAGGAGTGAGGTTTGGATCGTGATCTCCGCTACTCTAGCGCTGTTTATTATAATTGCGCTTCGTTTTACCAGCTAAACACCTGGAACGGGATACTGTGGTGAAAGCGTTTTAAAATGTTTTGTCAGATTGAGGATAACAATGAAATTCTCAGCAAATTTAATTTAATGCTTTCATTGTGTGGAAATCAAGGACACACAAGCAGGAAAATGTTCAATTTTCGAAGAAAATAATAGATAAAAGTTTTTCGTTTGTCTCACGATGTAGTCATGCGTGATGTAGATAAAACTTTTATTGTTATTAACCACGATGAATAACCACAAACTTTTCTACAAAATAATAAATTAACCTCATCTGTTATCGCTATTGAGGAAAGAAAACCAAAAACGCCAATAAGCGCTATTGAGTATTCTCCGCTTTAGCAAATGCACTTTTGTGCAAACATTGCAATGACGGCAACTCATTTAACCCTTTAAACCCTAAGAGTGACCAGCATCTAATTTCTCCCTACAATATCACTCCTGAATCACACATTAAGGTCATGAGAATAAAGGAAATGGTCACCAGAGAAAGAACCTTTTGATTAGCAAACAAATTCTCCTTGTCAGCACCTTAGGAAATGCATAAAGAACAGTGTGGAGAATATGCATACTGATATTAGGGTGTAAAGGGTTGAAAGGTAACATTTTTGAGCAGATAAGGATCACTTAGAAAACTGGTTTTCAGGCTTCATCCTTGGAAGAGAGTGGTGTGCGCCCGCGAAACGATGGACGGCGGACGAGGAAGGGAGGGTAGTCTGAAGCGTTGGAAAATTGAAAAATTATGAAGTAGAGATTGCATTAAAATTCATTTCCACTATATGTGTAAAATTTCAAAGTGCAGTGTGCATCGAGAAAATTCATGATCACATTAGCGCTGCAGGACACGCGTTTCTGACGTGGAAAGATTTTAGAAGAGTCGGGGAGAGATTCACCACATAGTATGGCACTAGAGATTAGAAGACAGTAATAGATCCTTTGCATACCTCTCGCCTACTCGCGTTGTTCAAGGGAGGGCTTGCTTACAGACTAGCATCATCACAGAATTGTATTTTCACGAGTTTCGTAGACGATTAGAGTGTAGTAATGGAAACTCATTCGGTCCCATACCACTTTCGACTTTGAATCGAGCATTGCTCTTCGCTACAAAATAATTACATTACTTTATCTATATTCTCAAGAAATTTATCTTGCTATAAAAGTTGTAAGTCATTCTATTTAAGATTAAGTGTCTACTTAAGCATTTCTGTATACACGCTGTAATCTTGAGCTTTAAAACTGCCTGGCTCTGTCGCTTTTGTTTTGCTGTTTAAGTCACATATTCGGGTCATGAAGTTGAAGTTACAACTGACGCAGTTTGTTTCCCTGACACAGGTCATCAGGCATGACGGGTAATCTGCAACCTGGCTTGAATTGTACGCATGCCCCTTCAGCACAAAGTGCATCTCGGATGATTTCGATTGGCCGCAGCTCTGATCAGATGGGTTTGCAATGAACACCAACATGAAGAGGATGATTACTGGGTGCAGTGTCATTCTGTGATCACGCTAGAAAAGGATAAAGAGAATTCAAATCAAGTTTGATGACGGAATCTTATCGCTGAGCAATGATATTATTGATAATCGCAACAGACCGGCTAAAATCTTATTGACCGCTGGAAAGGGTGCAGTCATTATTTATCGCCTGTAGCTCACGTGTAGCCGTACCTCCCCCACCCCCCAAAGGTGAAACGGAGGCGAGATAACACCTTGGGGGAAAGAGTGCAGCCACACGTAGGCAGGAACCCATGCTCCAGTCGTCGCCATCAGAATTTAACCCTTTAACTGCCAGATCAAATTTGTAATTCTCCTTACTGTCAACCGTACAATTCTTATAATTTTAGTTCAGAGAATTTAGCATTGGATCAACTAGTTATCCGTAAATTGATATGTTTGTTTATTCTCATCACTTATCTGGTTGATATTGTATTGATGTTGTGAGGAGAAATTCTGTCTTGGTCACTCATGAGAGTTAAAGGGTTAAAAGGGAGAGTACAGAAAATTAACCGCCAATGAGGGAGGATCATTTACATACTGCAGAGCCCTAAGGGGTATCGGGTTAATTTTTTGTAACACAACCAACATCCCCTGACCATAGAGGACTTTTGCATCTACGTGGTGCCGCTGAGGCGTAATCGCATACAAATTCCCTGGGTATCACCTGCACTAACGTGGGAGACATTAAATCTCATTTGTCCTGAAAATTAACAGGGTTTTTCTTTTCCTTGAGGAAATCGTTACGTAATGCTCAATCTATACTTAGTGCTGTAGGACAGTTTCATGCAATCTCTTTGCGTTTATTCCACACTGCTTTAAATTCGCTCTGCGTTAATCACTTTGACTTAATAATTTATTTCAAACTTTAGGAATTGAATGAATCTATAGGTAGTCCATGCGTTGAGGGAGTAAAGTTAAAATCGCTCTTTTTTTAACGTCTAGTTTTTCATGCAAAAGAAACTTGGTGGATGTATCAAATATTTTCCAAGTTTTTCGAAATGAAAAGGTGCATGAAATTATATCATGGCCGTCAGTGTGTCGTTCGACCGTTGACAATAGCTACGTTACATGGTTACGTTCGCATATGGAAATCATCAGATCTCTGTTTCATAACGATATCACATTTTCGCTTGTCGCAAGATTTTTCGTTATAAAAAACATCAAACGAATCTGTCTTTGAAATGTAATGCTCAAATAACCACTTACCATTTTGAGGAAGCGTGTTGGCGAAGAACTGTTAAATTTCGTCCAGATAGTTTTAACTTCTGATTCTGTAAACTTTTAAAATTCTAGAAAGTGATTAAAGTTGCTTATTCACACGATGAAGGTTTCATACGGCAGGCAGGTGTTTTTAAATAGTTTCTGGCAGTATAAAGTCGTTTTGATTGGCCGCGTTATACATTGATTGACAAAACAATTCTATACTCAAGCATTGTTTATGATTAAATAATGATTGACTGATCTTTGATGTTTTAGCAGTCATATGATATATTTTAGTATTGATAGACCACCTCCGTGATGAAGAGAATAAACCTTACATAATAAGCGATCATACACACAAATATTTCAAGTTTATAGATCGTTTAAATTATCAGAAATCGAAGTTATCATCTCAAGTCCCATGAAGTTACAGAAAATATGTTTTCTTCAGGGAAGGGGAACAGTAAATATTGATGGTTTTGATATGCCGAATTTTTTGCGCGCAGTTGTTCGAGACTATAGTGGCGGGTTGGGCAACGGAGCACGACTTCTAAACAATTATTCCACGAGCGTGCTTTGGATATGAAATGATTGATAGCCGACGAGTCCCGTAGGGCCGAGATGGTCTTAATCCAGCCCATATCTAATAAGGTAGTTTAGTATTATCAACCGAGTTGATAACGTAAATTGGCCACCGTACAGAGTTTAAAAGCTAACGTTTCGAGCGTTAGCCCTTCATTCTCGCTCTGACGAAGGGCTAACGCTCGAAACGTCAGCTTTCAAACTCTTTACGGTGGCCAATTTACGTTATCAACTCAGTTTATAACACTAAATTACCCTGTTATACTCTCCCACCGATGCAGCACCACAGTTTCTTTAGAAACTTGCCCCCTTTATTCATATCCAAAAAGCGCGGGTGGAATAATTGTTTCATTAAAAACACCCCAAAATATAGATAAATTGTATCCTCGGCGAAAATGCTTTGGCTCCGCTTTAATTTTGAGTTAACGCTTAAAGCATGGTATAATGACTCACAACCCATGATGGGTAAGCCAATGAAAACTCTTGAATTGCATCATCCAGTGGTCCAGTTTTTTAATAAAAACCAACATTAAATGAATCATAAGCGCATGTACCATCGCTCACCATAGCTGCTACAGGTTCCTTCAACAAGCAATACCTAGGACGGGGAGTGCACCTGCTTCCAGGCCGTCACTGTGTAAGCCTGAAGCGAAGACGTTATGCGAGCGAAAGAAAAGAAAGAGGTAGGGAACCAACAGAAAATAACTGGTTGGGATTAAGGAAAGTAAAGTGAAGGAAAAACTGTTTTGCTGCGACCTTTTTAATTCCTAATTTCTCTCTTAGGTTTTCAAACGCGTGTGAACAATAAATGATAATCAGGCCATCAATATTGCCTGAAAAAATTTCCGATCTAAAATCATAACAGGCCGCTTTTTATCGAAAAGCTATATGAATGTTGTATCTTGTTGCCGCTCTAGAACTCTCTAAAGCCCGGCGTGGGACCAAGCTTAAAGACCATCTCGCGCGCGCAGTTGACATGCGGCCCACGTCATACAGAATTATTGTAACGTCAATCTTTACTTCACTTCGTTTTCGCGGCAAGAGCAAGGTTGCGCTTTTCGTGAGAGATAAAAAAAAAAGTTTGGAGACAAGTTAGAGATGAAGTGGGTGACTGCGATAATAGCGCTTTCGCTTTTATCGTTGTTTTCTAACGCTACAAACAGTGCTAATCTGGACGGTAAGGTTTTTTCTCCCTTTGATAAATATTTTTTTCTATCTTAAAGCCTTGCAGGTAAAGACTTTGGACTTAGTAATAGGAACAACGGCTTAACTTGCTGCTCTTCATGTCAACCGGTTTACAATGTTTCGAAGGGATTCACTTAGTTTTCGTTGCTGTCTGTTTCCAAGAGGTTGGAAATTTTTGCAAAGCACATTCTTATGAAAAATACTTCAAATCACTTCCCGCAAATCCAATGTTTCTAGTTCCTATGGTTACTGCGCGCGTAGTTTTAAGTTCATTTCTAAGTTTTGCGCGCTTTACAAAAGATTAAGTTGCGCTAAATGCTTTTAAGTTTCTTTCAAAATGAACGCGCCTTGATCAATTTAAAGAATCGGCAAGTGCACGACAATGAAAGAAATTCAACATGCTTTAACAGTGCATGGAAAATTTATAAAACATTTATTTTCGGCAGAGATTTATTTGTTTTTTTTAATTTGCTTTTTTTTAATGTTACCGTACAAGTCATTACATGGACATACGCTATGTCACTTTACGCTACATTAATACAATTCACTATTGTACCAAATTACTTATTTTTTTCTGCTTAGAAATGTTTACTCGAGTCAGTGAGAGGCAAGAGCGGAATGATTTCAACGAACACAAGATGATGATGATGACTGGAAAGTGGGACAACAAGGTTTGCCGAAATTTAGATTTCTAAGGCATACTTATTGTTGGCTGCACAGAAATGCAGTCCCAAAAAATATCCTATTTGCAATTTGAAACCTTGTCTCGCGGAAAAGACGCACAACTCTTGCAGCGTCTTTCACCAACCAGGAAGTATAAATAGGTACCAGCGACTCGCGCGTCGTTATTGAAACAAAGAAAATCCAGCTGCATGGACCGATGTTTTAGTGCTTGCAGCATTTAGAATACATGTTAAAAAATCTTCAGAGTTAAAACATTTTCAGCCATTTCAATAAGAAGGCTTTTTTGTCTTGAACAACAGATTGCGGTCAAGATACAAATTCCCTCCATGGATGTTGAATTGAAGTTGATTTATGAAAAGGATTCCATTGAAGTTAACAGCAAAGCGTATGGCTACACCAGACCTAAACATTCAAAGGTATTAGGTTTGATGGTTCGTTTTATCTTTCGTTTACCGTTCATACTTTTCTGTTTTAAAGTATTAAGCTAACCGGACTGCTTTCCCGTATTTCACATGGCCAATGACTTCTCTAAATCATCACTGTCAGATCTTCAAGTGCAAGGAAATCCCTGAGTATCTCAGAAACACGACGTGCTCTGACTATGAGGTTTTCGAGATTACAAATCGTGGATTGATATCTCGGATGTGGAACTTTACAGCGACGGTAATGACTCAGGTGCATGACGGTACGTTGGAAATGACCTCAGGGATTTGGAAGAAATGCATTATGGTCTCAAGGGTAGTGATTGGAAAAGTATGGTTTGTACTTCAGTACACCTGGATTGGAACGGTTAATTGGACTCGGGAGAAATTGGAATGGTTCTCAAACTTGACGTGGAATGGAGCAAAGCGGTGGGTTGGAAAATTAATATGGAACTGTACGGAATGGTTAGCGTGGATTTTATGGAATGGACTTCAGTGCTTGGCGGATTTTACCATAATTGCGACATATGTATTTTCCGAGATGGTCCAAAATAAGTCAGCTGAGCTGATCCAGATGATGATTTACGGAGTGACGTGGATTTTTGAACCATTTGTGCCTGTCTTCTCTTATATCACTGATGTTGCAGTTGATTTATATTTTGGTTTCCTACATGGTAAGTCAACTCTGCTCAGAATTGAATTTCCACTTCACAAGTTGGCCTGCCAGCAGAGAGAGAGATCATTTCACTTCTCACTTTCGGCTGAGCTGGATTTATCATTATTATCTATAATCAGCTATTTTCTTTTACACGGGCCATACGATGCAATTTATAGAGGATGACTCAATTTCTTTTTATTTCTGCAGCTGCACAATTTCATACCACAATTATTACATTCGATTCAAAGAAAAAGAGCGGTTACTAGTTTTTTGAAACTGTTTTTTGTTCGCTATTCATGACATTAGGGTTTTTTTTTCCAACAGATCATGTGAAACAAATTCAAACTCGCTTTGATTTCGTTTCCTGGCAAGATGGCGTCTACGCTTTCTCCGCTGGTTTAGTCGTCAATGTTTCTCTTTTGGTTGCTGCTTTTCTCGTTTACCGGTTATGTGTGCGAACTGTGAAATTCATCGGACGGAAATGGTAAGTTATATCCTGCGAAATAACTGTTTTTAAAAAGTTAATAACTCTTTAACCCCTGAGAGTGGCTGGCCTCTAATTTCTCCTCACAATATCAGCCTTAAATCAAACAGAAAGGTTATGAGAATAAAGGAAATGATCACTCATTTCAGAAACCCCTTATTGTCAATCAAAAATACTCCTTGTCAGTACCATAGCAAATTTAAAGAGAACCGTGCGGAAATATGAATACTAATTTTATGGTGTAAAGGGTTAAGATTATTTTGTTTGAAATCAGTAGCCAAACGAGCGAGGTCTCCCTAATAGGTGATTAGTTCCCATGAGTCAGTTGCCATCCCGTGATATTTTGAGTAAATTATCTGGCGCGAAAATTACCTTCAATCTAATGCCCTCTGCAAGAGACTAGAAGAAAAAAAAATGATTCAGAAAGTACGGGAATGTATAAGATAAAAACGGATTAAAAATTACGACTTTGAAGCGTAGCGGAAGATATTTAAGATGTGTATAACACTAAGTAGCTCCTACAACTGTGTCAAATATCATGATTTGCAAGGGATTCAACCCCTATTAAATGCAGCCCAAATTTTTTAGCAATGAGTAGAAATTCTGCTGTTATCACGAAGCTACACAGATGTAAAAACATAGCCTTTGAAGTGTTGTCACCTGCTCTCTTTTGGATCAAAAGCCCATCCATTGCGCGCATGCGTCAGATTTACGGTTGATAGACACCGTTTCAATATTGAACTGAATTAATGAGGAAATCTGACTTCAATAAGCATTACTTATTATATGCTTGTCATTTCTTGCAGGAAAGAGTACAAAGACAGAAAGGCTGCCGCTAATATGCCACCGAAACCACAGAAACCAATTTGGCAGCCGAAACGAAAGCACAAGAAAAAGAAGAGAATTGACGACTGGTAGTCGCCAATTATGTTTACTTTGTTTTGTTGCCTCAAAAATGTAAAAAAAAAAAAAAAAAAAAAAGAATCTGAAAATCTGTTGACTCGGTGAAAATCCTAGATTGTGTTTTTTTGTTAAATGCAGTTTTGAGGTATTGAAAATGTCATTTAAGTGGTGGCTTCTGAGTTTTCTTCCATTAA